GCGCTCGCTTCCAGCGTGCGTGGGCCGTGGCCAGAGGGGGCTGGCGCGCCGCCGCGAAGGGCAGGTCCAGCAGCTGCATGGTCCAGCCGCGAAGCGCGGTCTGCAGGAAGAGGCCGGTACCCACCGGCCGGGCCAGAGGTGCTGAGAGGTTGAAGAGGTCCCGGGCGCGCAGGAGAAGCACGGCGTCTCCTTCCAGGGCATCGCAGCGGGGTGCAGAGGGCGCCGGGCCATAGCGGGCGGTCCACTCCCGCAGGCTGACGTTCAGGGCCAGGCACCGGGCAGGGTTGGCCGAGGCGACGGGGGCGGCTACCAGGCGTGAGCCTCCGGCTCGAAGCACCTCCACCATGCGCTCTAGCTGGCCAGGCGCCTCGGCCCTCGCCCCGTCGGGCACCAGGGCCACGTACTCTGTGGCCACGTAGGTCTCGGGGCGCGAGGCTGCGGCTGGCCGATCCAGGGCAGGCTGGAGCAGCGCCAGGCGAACGTTGGGGACGTGGGGCAGGGCCAGGGGCGGGTAAGGGAGCGTGTCGGCTACCACCACTACCGGCTGGGCAGGGTCCTGCTGCAGGAAGGAGTCCACCAGCTCTGGCACCGCGTTGTCAAAGGCTTCGAATTCCCGCACCAGGACGGTGACGCGGGGGCCCGAGGCAGATACACGGCGGGAGCCCCGGGTCCGGGAGTTCCTGGGCTGGTGTTGCAGCCACGAGACATAGAACAGGACCAAGAGGTTGAGGGTGATGGCAGCTGCCAGAGCAGCCTGGCAGCGGGTGAGCCGCATGGGGCTGTAGTCAGGCCCTAGCTGGGCTTCGCGGGTATCCTGGGGAGGGGGGAAGGAAAGGGGAGGCTGGAACTGGTTGTCAGAAACTCCCCCACCCAACCTCAGCCTTGCCTCCCTCTCCTAGCCCTTTCCTTATTTGGTTTCAGTTCTGACTCTTCCTTCTCTGGGAAGCCCTCCTTAATCTCAGGCTGGGTCATGCAGCCCCCTCAGGGCTCCTTCAGCCCTCAGGGTCCTGCAGGTGTAGCCTACCATTCTAATTCATTACTGAGTAGGGACCAGTCTGTGTCCTCCCACTGGACTGTGAGACCCATGAGGGCAGGTCCTGAGCCTATCTTAGTCACTGTTGGTTCCCCAAGGCCACCCAGCACAAAGCCAGGCACACATTAGATGCTCAGGAAGTTTTTATCAAACGAATCATCTTCCCTTCTTCCTTGTTCAATACCACCCTTCTATTCACTGTCAACTTCTCATTCAGACTCAAATTCAGTTATAAATGCAAGGACCCCATTCCCAAGACCAACTTGCACCTTCTTCTTGACATTCCCTGCTCCAGGAAGCCATCCCTGATCTCTCCCTCCCATACCCTGGCCCTGGGTCAGAGCCTTGGTCACCAGGACCCTCCTTGCTGCCTCCTTTTCAATTCCTCAAATCCTGTACCACCTAGCCATCTCTTTCCTGGTGGCCAGCCAGATGGTTTTGGTTTTGCAAGAAAAGCTAGAAATGTTTTTTTTAAGCTGGAATTATTCCAATTTTGTTTTGTTTTGTTTTGGGGGGGGTAATTAGGTTTATTTATTTATTTTTAAATGGAGGTACTGGGAATTGAACCCAGGACCTCGTGCATGCTAAGCATGTCCTCTACCCCTGTACTATGCCCTCCCCCCTAGAATTATTCCAATTTTTAATGTTGGCTGCTAGTTAATCTTTTTTTTTTAATGGGAAGGGTCAAATTCATAAAAACAGGGGCTGTGGGGAGGGAGAAATGGGGAGTTGTTGAATCAGTATAGCGTTTCGGTTTTGCAAGATGAAAAGTTCTGGAGATTGCACAGTAACACGAATATACTTAACACTACTGAACTATACCCCTAAAAACTGTTAAGATGACAAAATTTTGTTATGTGTATTTTATAACAGTTAAAAGCTCATTTTTATTAAAGTAGTGTGGGCTGCAGCATCAAAAGAGGCTGTTATCAGTAGGGTGCCCCCCCACCTCTATTCATTGGCTACACTCCTAAACAACCCCCAGATGGCGCTATCTCCCTGTCCCCAGCAGAATTTAAAGATTTGGCTGGTCTCCAGTACAGAAGGACTCACTAACCTTGGGTTCTAAGCAGATACTCAGAAAAAGTTTCCCCATGAAGGATCTTCATAGGTTCTACCTCTCCCTGAGAGGGGGACATCAGAGACCCAGCTAATCCTCCTACCTCCTAAATATTCTGACCCCCAAATCCAAACTTCCCCCTTCAACCTGGATCCACCCAGATCCCCACTTAGCCTCCCCCTGGTCTCCTTCATGGCAGCCAGAGGGGTCTTCATAAAGTACAAATCTGGTATCTCCCTCCCTGCTCAGAATCTGCCATGGCTCCCCAGTGCCCCGGGGAGAAAAGTGTAAGATTCTTACAACATCCCACAAGGCCTTGTGTGACCTGGCCCTTGCCTGCCCACCATTCTAGCCCCATCTCCTGCCATGCCTCCTTGAACTCTATGCCTCAGCCATCTTGGACTTTTCTTCAAACAGGTTTTATTTCTAAGCTTTTGCATATTCTGTTCCTTCTGCCTGGAAGAGTCTCCTCTCGAACATCCCTTCTCTTTATGCCTCTTTTCTCCCGGAGAACTACTCATGCTCAGGCTTCAGCTCAGACGGCCCCTCCTCCAGGAAGCCCTCCCTGAACTGCAGGCTGGGTCAGAAGTCCCCTCTGGACTCCTGGAGTCCCTGCGCTGCCTGTTCTTATTTGGCACTGTCTGGGGCTGGGGCTGTCTGCTGCACTAGACTGTGAGACCCAAGAGGGGAGATCCAGGCTGTCTTTATCATCGCTGTGTTTCCAGTACATGGCTGGGCACTGAAAATGCACTTGGTGAAAAGATGGTGACCAGAGGCAAGGCTTCTGTAAAGCCCACTCAGGTCCCCAGAGCCAAATTCTTTGCTGAGGCTGTGAGCCTGGGGCCCTGCCCCTGTCTGCCTGTCTCCTCTCTCTCTCCCACCAAGAATGCCCTGCCACCCCTCTTCACCCATCCCAGGCCTGCTTGCCCTTCTCTGACCCAACTCAGATGTCGCCTAAGAACCTGAGTTGCACTTTAAGGGCGACTTCTTATTCTTTAGTGCCTTGGGATTGCCTTCTGGACTGTAGATTGATCCCTCCTCCCTTCTGTCCTTCAACACCTGTTTGGGGAACTCCTACAACATACCAGGCACTGTCCTAGGCACAGGGGATACGGCAGTAGACACGTAACACAGAGATCAACAATTCCCCTGACCCCATGCAACTCACATTACTGTGGGGGGAGGAACTTTAGAACCACGGAATCTTCTGGGTCTTAAAAATCTTAGAACCTTAGTGCTTAGGTACACAGAAGAGACCCTTAGATGGTTTTAGAATCTTCTAAAGATTCTAAAAGGACCATCCTCCTGCTTCACCTTTGTTCCTTACAGTCTGTTCCCCACTCAGAGCCCAGCGGGATCCTGTTAAACCCTGAATTAGATCCCGTCCTGCGTCTGCTCAAACCTTCTGCGGCTCAAGACTCACTCAAAGGACAGGCCAGAGTCTTCACTGTGACCCACAAGGCCCCACATGATCCCCCTTGTTCCTGTGCTCACTCACTCAGCAGCAGCCACATGGGCCGCCAAACACCTGGGAGACTGCTGTTCCCTCTGCCTGGACACTCTCCCCCCAGGTTATCTGTATGGATCCTTCCTTGGCCTTCAGGTCTTTGCTCAAATGTCACCTGTCCACTGCGCCCTTCCTTTGGCCACCCTCCTTAAAACTGCATCTCCCCATCACTCACATACTTCCTATGCCCCGTCCCTGTGTTGTTTTCCTCCCTTAGTAGTTATCATGTAGATTTCACTTGTTCTATTTATTGTTTGGTCTCTTTTGTTCCCTGCCATATATCCAGAACACAGCACACTACCTGGCACTCAGCAGGGGCTCAGTAAATTTGTGTGGGATGAATGATTGACTCCCATTATTCAGAGGGGGATCCTGGGGCTCAGAGAGAGAAAGGAAGCAGAAGCCAGGTCTCCGCCCCCAGGCCCTGGCTCTCCCCACATGCTGTCTGGCCAATTCTGGGCCAGGAGGTAACCGACAGGACAGAGGGTAGAAACCAGTTTCTCAAAGATCAGCAGGTATCAGAGCCAGATGAGGAGGTGGGGGGACCAGAGAAGAAAGAGTGAGGAATCATCTGTTACACTGACAAGGTCAGTCTTGGCTTTCCCAGCTGTAAGGGGCAAAACCCCTTCATTGGGACAAAGTGGATGAAATGATGATTTTGAAGGATATGTAATAGGATATAGGATAATGTCAACAATTCTAGCCACTCATGACATGCCAGACCCTGTTCTAAGCACTTTGCCAATATTAACTTGTTTAATCTTCACATTGTGAGCACCTTTAAAGATGAGGAAACTGAGGAACAGAAAGGTGAAGTCACTTGCTCAAGGTCACATAGCTGGGAACTGGTGGCCCCAGGAGTTGACCCTGCAAGCTGGCACCAGAGTTGTGCTTTCAACCAGTAAACTCTGCTGTCTCTCTTGGGTACACAAAGACAGCCCAACTCCCAGCCCATCTTCAGTGAGACAAGCCCTTTCCCCAGCCCTAACCTGACAGGTGCTTTCAGACTGGAATACTGCACACTGATAAATTAATTCAACTCATTAACTCAACAAACAGATATTTATTGTGTGCCCTCCGTGCCAGATTCTGTGTTCTGGGGACCCAGGATGACCCGGGCAGTCATTCGGCAGGCCTTCCAGAGGTGGGAAGACAGACAAAAACCACCTAAACAACTTACAGATATGGCAGAAAACCAGCAGGGGGCGTGAGAGGAAAAAGGTGGTCAGGGGAGGAGAGGGTAGTTAAGCTGAGACTGTCTCTCTATTGCCCACAAAACCATGTTAAGTGCACCCAGATTCATTTCAGGCCAGAGTTCACCTGGCCTGAGCCTCAGTTGCTGCATCTGTAGAATGGGAATGTGACGGGTAGAGAAAGTGAGTGATATGTGGAAAAACCTTTTGGGGACAAGGGCAGTTTCCACATGAGTGCTGGTGACACTGAGGGGCTTCTTACCTCCTAGGTTGCAGGCTGAAGGAGCTCCAGGGGGACAGTCCTAGCCCAGCTCAGCTGCACTTCTGAGGAAAGGAGAACCAGAAAACTCCAAATCAGCCAATTTCACACAATAGAGCACCATTTCATCTTACCTACAAAGTGGGAATGAGAAGGTCAGGGAATCATTTCTCTTTAAGTCCCATATGCTCAGGCACCACTTGAAGCATCTTATGAATGGGAGGGAAGGATGTCATAGGGATATAACCATCCCTTCTTTCATAAATGTGTACAGAAAGGTAGGGCTAGAAGTGACAGAAGGTGTTACCATGACAACCTCTTGCCTAGACACACTCCATCCTGAAACAATCCTAAAATGTCTTCAACCTTGATAAGCCTGGTTCCTAGGGTCACTGGAAAGGGGACTGCCCCCATCACCATAGCAACCAGGACTTTGCCTTGCCTGTTTCTCATCAACCTGGGGATGGTCCAGGCCTTGTAACCATAGTAACTACTCCTCAGCAGAGCATCTCCTCCTCTAAATAAAAACACCTGGTTGGTTTGGTCCCTGGACCTCCCACCATGGGAAAGGGGGAGATAGTTACCATGGTAATGCCAACTGGGTGGCTGGGGGGGAGGGGTTGGGAAAGAGGTTTCCCTCAGCAATCAGTGTCCTTGGGGCTGGGTTCCTTTCTACCTGAGAGCTAGGTGAAGTTGCCATAGTAACCAATGAGAGGAGGGGCAGAAGGGACCACCCAGGGACTTGGGTTACCTTGGCAACCTCCTCCTGGTGCTGGGCCAGGAGAGGTTTGGAGCTCTATAACCACAAAGATGGGGGAAGGGGGGGCTAAGGGTGTTCCAGACTGGGGAAGGTTACCATGACAACCGACCTGGGCCAGGAATCAGAAAGGATGAGGCCATTGCTGAAACCATCCCTGGTGGTCGCCCTTTCTCTCAAAGAATGACAGTGATTGTCGAGAGGAGGTATTTGGGTCTGGAGAGGGCTAGAATCTTTCTTTGGGGCGAAGCCGGAGGAGGAGGACCGAAGGCCTCCCCTCCCAAAGTCCCGCGCTTTCCAGGGGCGACCGTCTCTCCGGACCTGGGTCGCGTTTGCCCTCCCTGGGGCGCGCGCTCCCGCCCCGCCCCTTT